ATTGCGGTTCTTCTCGACGTAATGGCCGCATCCTCCAGCGATTGCATCGCTTCACGGACTTTCGCACTCGGTTTTAGGGCGCGGCTCGGTCGTTTCGGTGACGGTGGGCGGTCGGCCACCTCGATCACTGCCTCAGGTTGCGCCGCCGCCGCCATCTCGCGCTCCCTTGGCAGGGCGGCTCACCTTCCGAAAAAACCGATTTTCTGTTGGATTGAGCTGACAAGTACCGCGGTCAAAAAGGGCAGATAAAAAGAAGTTCCTCTCCTGATCTCGGTCGGGTTGGGTCGCGATGCATCGAACGTGTGCACAAATGTGGGGGGTGCCCACAAGCAGGGGGTTTGACTTACGTATCAAATGGCAGAAATGGTACGGAGCTAATAGCAATGTCTTCAGTAGGTAGTTACGCGCCTTTTCTGCCGGTAGAAAGGTACGTATCTAAATGGCAGAAAAATTACATCTGTACGAATGTAACTGGCAGAGAATATATGTACTTCAGTAGCCGTCACATCGTCCAGGGATATTCCAGCCGTGATGGGGTATATAACGGTGTGCGGCACCTGTACTTGGTTAGGAACAGGCACTTGCCCCACTTGTTCCGGCATTAAACTTCTTGATCGCGAGAGTTCTTCCAGCTTCTCTTCCTTTTCTCCCCATCTTGCGATTTTGCACCATAGAGATGTCTTTCCGCAGCCATGCCTCGGCCAATGGCCCTCTTCTGTGACAGGGCAGAAAAAGTACGTAACGTTACTGCAGCGGCAGAATCGGTAATCGGGCAACCCAAGGAAAGTACGCGCGACTAATCGTATAGCAACCTGCAGCCTCATCATAGGACAGCGCATTCTGCTCCAGCAAAGGCAGCGGTTCCGTGCGGTGCTGTAAACCCTTGCCCGCAGGGCAAGATGGTTGTACCGCCTGGTGATGCCGTTTCCAGCTCCAACAGAAAAGGTAGTGTATTTACTCTAGTTAGTGGCAAAGTTAGGTTGGTTTTCCTGTAAGAACGTTTGCAATTTTGCTTAAGTGTCCAGAGGTCTGGAAAGGTTTCTCGCAAATAGCGCTTCATCCAGGCCCAGACATGCTCAATTGGGTTTAAATCAGGACTGTGAGCGGGCCATTCGATCCAGGAGATAGCCCGGAGGCAGAGCCATTCCTCTGTCGACTTGCAGACATGAATTTTCGCATTGTCTTGCTGGAAATGCCGTGTTTCGTCGTAATGTGGAAGAAGGCCCTCCTTGAGAGCATCTTGGTAGGATTTAGCCGTATATCCTTGGTTCTTTGCAGTCTTATCGCGAACCATCACAACGAGGTCGCTCCTTCCCCCCCTCCAGATCATTCTCCATACCATAATGGTAATATTCGCCTTCACATGGTTCCGGAGGTTGACGAATCGAGGGTCGAACTTCTCAGAAGGGAAACGGAATACCCAGGCAGTCGGATTTGGGGTGTTGTTTTGGCAAGAACACTCATCTGAGAAACATGGTCTATTAAAGTTAGATCTAGCTAAAACAAGGGGAGACTTTGAGCTACAAACCCGGAGGAACTCTTCGAGATTTTCGAGCTGGTCGTGTTAGACAGCAACAGTTACAGGCTCGAATAGGCATAGACCAACCAGGTGACACTGCATCAATTGAGGCACAAGATGAAGCTTGAATTGACTGTCTGAACCATGCGTGATGTGTGTGTGTTGCTTAAAGAACCGAGGGCTTCTGGACCCTGTTGGGCAGCCAACAGTTACATGCTCAAGTAAGCTTAGATCAACCAAATGGTATTGAACAGATTGAGGAATGAAACGAAGCTTGAATTGGAGTCACGATTCCAGAGTGACCACACAAATGAAGGATCAAAATAGTGGGTTAGGGTGTTTCAGAATGTCCCTTTTTGTTGGAACAGAAAATTGTGCTCTCTAATCCTCCCAGGGGAAATTACCCCCTTATATAGAGACATTGTGCCATGATATGACGCTATGTCAGGAACTGTGTCATTGTGATGGTGTTGGGAAGCCAACAGCCACGATTCCACGGTGTTACGCTTTATGGGAGCCCTTGAGACAGTGAACTTTTCGAGTGCCCGGGACCAGCCCAGAATCTGTCAATTGAGTGTTCTGTCCTCTCCTTCTCCAAGTTGCCTGGGTGCCTCCTAGACCTTATGTAACAGCTGTGTATTACCCCTGACCAGGGTACGATACCGGCAACCCAGTTTCCGAGTTTCAAGTGCCTTCACTTCCAACAGATGGATCTGTGCTGACTGAGAGTCTCGCATTGAACATCAGTGCTCAGTCCGTGAATCTTGGTGCCAAGGAACCCACTCAGTTCAACAGACCCTCGCCAGGCCCTGCTTTTGGGTGGGTGACGAGTCTTCCACGCTTACTGCATTGGGCAACAGTGCCCAGCACCTGAATCCAGGTGCCAAGGAGCCAGTTCAGTTCAACAGGTTGCAGACAAAGTCATATCTATCCTTTGCCACTTCTTTTGTCAATGGATTCGCTTCATTGCTCTCCATTTGCGCATGTTGTAGTGGCGGAGACAGCGGCGAATCGTCGAGTATGAGACAGGTGTCCCTGTAACGTTAAGGAGTGCCTTTTTAGCAAGCTTCCTATTCCGTTTAATGAGAGTTAGGATATACCGCTTCTCTCTTCGCGTAAGTACCTCGGGCCGCCCGCTACGAGGTCTGGAATGGAAAGATTCTTGAGTTTTGAAGAGTTGAACCGCACCTTGGACGGCCTTCTTCGACACGCGAAAGAGCGACCCGACCTCGCGCTGGGTCCGGCCTGTGGCAATGAGCGTACAAATGGCTGCACGAAGCTCTGGCAATAGCTCCTGGTGTGGCTGCCTCCCGGCCGCCATTTTAGCTGCGAAATCAGCTAAATTGAGCGTCATGGCGAAAAAGATGATGGTAAACGCGGTCGCGTCGCGTACTTCAATTGGGTGGGGTTTGGATCCAGACTTTTGGACCCCCACTGTACCTTACGGCGTTACTGCCCCAAACGCGGGGCACCTCAGAATGTTCCCCCCTCCACCCATCTCCTCTGTTCGTCCACGATACGCAGCCAACAACATAGCGGTATCCTTCGCCACGATGAATCACGACGTTTCTGAGCTGATGATTTCCTCGTTTTCGGGCAATGAGAACGATAGATTCGGAAAAGAGAAAGATGCGAGATTGCCTCTCTTGCTTCCGAAAGTCATGGAAGGCCGACCGATTAAGTCGACGAGCCGCCTTCTTTGCCGACTACCACCCGAGATCTTAGGCGACCTTATGGATTTGATCGCAGACGACAAATCAACCCTCTCTGCTCTCGCCCTGGTGAATAGCGACTGCAGACAGTTGGCTCGCTCTTGCCAATTCGCCGATGTCTGCTTTGACTACAGCCTGAATTCGAGGCTCCTTCTGCTCCAGCTCATGAAGGAGGGCATCACCAGGCTCGGCCACGATGACCCAAGCAACACCACTCGCCCGCCATACATTGGACCTTGCATTCGCCGAGTTGTGATCAAGCCTCGCCCGGAGTGGGTCGCTCATGCGCACAGCGATCTGTACGATTCCATTTTTGGGGATGCCGCGAGCGATCTCAGTCCGGAGCAGCGCAACGAATTATCCGAGAGAGCGACTGATCAGTACATTGCGACCTTCCGCACTCCCGTTAAGGTCGCCATGGAATTGGCAATGCCCCACCTTGAGGCCCTGTCGTGGCATGATCGACTGTGCCTCGATGGTGCCTTCTTCAGGACTGTCGCGAATCTGCCCATCCGGCACCTCAGGTTGACCGGAGTTCATATCGGGGAGATCTATCGCCTTGAGCCGCCCGTCACGCCGCTTGTTGTGCCGTTGGAGTCACTCTCTTTGAGGGTACGCCTCTGCAGCAACGAACGGGCTCATAGGAGCAAACTAACCGCTGATACCGATGCCGATACTGCGGACGCCGATGCCTGGAAGAAAAGAAACTTGTCACCCTTCATTGAAACCCTCCTTCGGCGCTGCAGCACGACTCTTAGACGTCTGACCTTGAGTTGCGAGGCTTTCACGGGAGATCGATCGCTTTCATTCGGCTATGAAGATATATTCTTCACCCGCCTCCGGTACCTCGATATCTCCAGAGATTTGAGCGATCCCGATGTACGATTCTGGTGTTCGCTGTTTTCTGCACCGCTAAGACACCTCTCCTTTCCCTTTAAGGATTCGCTAGCCTTCAAACAGGCTTTATCAGCTTGCCAACCCCTCCGTGACCTTGAGACGCTGGTCGTACCATATCTCGATGGCAAGGACATGGGTACGGCGCAGCCAATAGTTGACTTCATTTCACGTCACCCGCACGTTCGCAAACTCTCCATCGGGAGAAGCACGCCTCAGCTTCTGGACTCTCACATTATCCCACTCCTCTCTGATGGCAGGTGGTCAAGCCTCAGCTCCCTTGCACTAGTATGGAGCGAGCCGAGAATTGCGGTGGAAACACAACCAGACAACGCCACCATCTCCGCAGCTTCCCTGGATGGTGTTGGCAGTATTGAATCACTAGAACAGCTATGCCTGAGCGCCGGCCAGCAATTTGGCTGGCGTCACCAGTGGTTGATCGACCATGATGCGGTGCGACTTCGTCTTCGAGGACTGGCAAAACTCAAGAGGCTCGCGTTCTCACGAGATACGTACGTGCTTCCAGAAGGTGTGTCCGGCTATGGGGTGGAGCGGTATTACGAGGATCGGCTGGTAACATCGGCGGAGCGCAATGACGCCCTCGAACGACCGGAATTGGATAGAGTGGGAGAGGCCGAGCATATGACAGAAGGAGAGGACACCGAGGTTTGGGAACGTGCTCACCGCAACCGCATGCTCCGCGAGGCAGAAAAGTATGCTGGCGTTTTCCCCCATCTAGAATGGATCTACTGCGGTCAGTGGCCTATGAAAATCTGGACCAAGCCGACATTGGAGGGTAAAATTCGGGTTGCTCTGCCTCTGGTCAAGGAAAGAGACTCTTGCTGGACGCTTCTGGAACGAATGTTTGGTATGGGCAGGTATGATGAGTAATTATATTCGCTGGGTGGTCCTGTTTGGTGGGTATGGCGTCACGGGGACGTTTATCTGCCAAATGTGCCGAGATATAACGAAGTGGAGAGGATCTTAGTGCCGGGGGTGTGAAGCTTAGGCCTATTGGGGAAATCGCTTACCGTCTCACTCAACTCTGATGGGCTTAGCATCCACGCCCCTGTGCAGTAGCCCGTGCAAAAGCCTCCAAGCCATTGTAGCCAATAGGAGTCTTATTTATCAACCCACTTGACTAGTGCGTAGCCACCACGTAAGTGGTCTGTTGACTGTACTTAAACTACAACTCCTAGTTACTACCAATAAAATCCGCATATGCATCGATGCCTAAGCAGCAAAGCTCTCCACCGCGTTGAACTATCGACCGACACATCTTCATATACCTCAGCATACATATGTCATCAGAGAATAGTGGCGCGCCGAATGGGGAGACGACGGCTACGGCCTTTTCGCCCGGCTCCGCGACAGATCGGCCAGTGTGAGATCGACTCGGAGAGGTACAACACCCTCTGCGTGCAAACCCGAGACAGCTTGCTGAGCATACTCGATCAAGTTCAGCTTCTCGCCGATGTCTGCGACGATATCATGTTTTCTTAGTGCGCCAAGTACAGAAAGTGGAAGCAGGTGAGAGACAAGCTATCCACGGAGTTGTGTTGAGGATGCGGTACAGTGGAACAGATTCCTCGCCGTTGTGGACAGCGGGCGCGATACGAAATCCAGATACCAAGAAGCCCTAGAGTATGGCACGCTGCTGAGGACAGGAGACCAAGCATTGGCCAACAACCAGGACACCAAGGTTTAAGTCTTCCACCAGCACCAGGGTGTCTGGACAGCAGCCTCAATCATACGCAAAGAGGGAAGCATTGTGGAACTTGACGTCTTCGACGGCAATGCACCATCGCCTTTGGAATTGAGAGGGAATGCGCGAACTGCTTCGACAAGGGAAGGATCAGGCGTTCATGAGCACACAGTCCCGAACCCTGACCGCCCTTCCGTCGTCTTTCTCCCTTGGACTCCACAGCGTCGCTGCCATCGCATAAATCTCGGGTCAGGGTACTGTCCTCTCTAAGGCGACGGTCGGTGCCAGATCGCAGCTGTAGCTCTCTCAACGTCCCTCTTTCCACTTGCGATACAATTGGCGTGAGATGAAGAGAATGCTTGGAATGGAGGAAAACGACTGAAGAAGGGCGAGTATTACAGTGAACGCAGGTTGAACTGGTGTTCGAAACGGCTATGGAGGATATGAATCATCTCATATTGAGACATATTGGGCCGTTCTGCTAGCTCTCCGGACAAGGGGTCTCGCAAAAGCGGGGTGATCTTCCGCTGACGGCCGACACAGTTCGAGCGGCTTGACGTGGTTCTGTTGGGCAGCCAACAGTTACATGCTCAAGTAAGCTTAGATCAACCAAATGGTATTGAACAGATTGAGGTATGAAACGAAGCTTGAATTGGAGTCACGATTCCAGAGTGACCACACAAAATGAAGGATCAAGATAGTGGGTTAGGGTGCCTCAGAATGTCCCTTTCTTGTTTTAACAGAAAATTTGTCCTCTCTAATCCTCCCAGGGGAATTACCCCCTTATATAGAGACAGTGTGCCATGATATGACGCTATGTCAGGACTGTGTCATTGTGTGGATCTGTGCTGACTGAGAGTCTCGCATTGAACATCAGTGCTCAGTCCGTGAATCTTGGTGCCAAGGAACCCACTCAGTTCAACAGGTTCCCTGTCGCTAGAGTCTCGATGGATTCTGTGACCGCCCGCTCACTGCAAATGATGGCTTCGGCGATCTCGTTGTTGGGTGTGAAGCAGCCTGGCGTAAATCTGTTCATGTTGGGAGGGAGCGAGTTGCAGAGCCATCGCCCATTGTGGGTTCCAACTCCCCCACCTGCTTGCCGCTGAGCAAAATGCGGTTGGTTTTGACGAAGCTGGGCTCGGACGGCGGAAGTCTGGCCTGCTGCGGGTTCGGAGCGCGGGCCATGATGGGCTTGAAGAGGGTCATGATGCTCTTTCGCGCGGAAAGAAACGGCAACTCCACGCAAGGAACTTTGAGTAGTAATAGTGTTGCTGCAATGCGTTTGGGCGAGCAATGATGGCCAAGTGGTGATAGAGCCTTCCCGTGGTCGGACGGAACCTTGTCGGTCGCGCGACTGTACCACGTGCGGCTGATGACAGCGGTACAGACCTCTCTGTCTCGGATATCGTCGTCTTCGATCGCCATTCGGTACCGGCCAAGATCCCCTAGACACTCGATCCACGTCCTCGAAGGCGAGTACCGTCTCGTATAGCGACGCCATCATCGAGTAGGCTATGTAGATGAAGGCCAGCATGTCGTCTGAGCTGGCCGGCAGGCGGTGCCTCAGGAGCTCCAGGAAGTTGTGAATGCCGGGCTTGCCGAGGGATGCTGAGAGGCGAGGAAGAAGTCGTGGTGCTCGTGGAGGAGAGTACGGTGTAGAGCAATCAGGGCTTGCCATTGATCGTTGTTGAGCTTGTTAGCGGGTCTCTGGTTGCTTGATGAGCTCTGTGGAGTCATCGTCTCCCGCTGGCGGTGCTGAGCCGGGGACTCGAGCCGAGGCAGGGTTAGATTGCCGAAGTGGCCTGGAGAGGGAGCCTGATGAGGGGCGTGGGCTTTGCTGATAGGTGGTCACGTTGGACTTGTCGTAGGGTCGGGGGCGAGGGATGGCCGCGTCATCCTCCGGGCTCCATGGCGTTCCCTTCTGATAGGGACCCCTGGCAAACTCGGCCCCGGTGCCCACTGCGAGCTGAGCTTTGGAGCGCCTTGGTGGTGACACAGAGCGGGACCTGGAGCCGGATGGTCTTCGTTTTTTGCGCTTTCGATTCCGCTGCATCAAAATTCTGAGCATGCGAGTCCGCAAAGTGCCTCTTGAAGGTCGCGCAGGCATCTTCAGAGCCGCCAGACTCAGGGCTGGGAAACCCGTGGCCGCACTAAGAACACTGGACGATGGTGTAAGGAAGATTATTAGTTTCGTTCGCGCACGACACGCATCCGATCGGTGTATCACCTGTTAGTCAAGGTGAAATATAGCTAAGCTGGGATAAGTGTGAGTACTAGCTAACGTATCTTATAAGCGAGTGACCCATATAAGCGAATGACCCACCCCCCCCTGGCCACGCGACACCTTTGCACTCAACAGCACATTTTCCCTA